ATAAGATAATTTGACCCTTATTAATGATGGGTGGACAAATATAAGAGTAGAATGTATTATATATTTTATTATAGAAATTCCAAGTCCCATTTTCTATAAATTAATTAAACGGAGACCAATATACATATGGGAGAATATATACTATATCTAGTGAATTTAGGAGTAAAACACATTATTTATAAATAATGCAAGTAATGAAGAAAGCCTGGACCCTGTGAGAATTAAATATCTAATGAATACATTGGGTCTTCATCTCATGGACTTAATTTGCTTTCAAAAGAACTAGTCAATAAAATATTGCCAATTTAAATTTTAGTAGCAAAAGCTTAAATTATTATTAAACATGTAAAATTCAACATTTTTTACACATTTAAGGAAAAACAACTATTTAAAGATAAAAATAGTATTGTTTTCTTAAAGTTGCATAGCCCACCCAACTCTTTAGATAGTAGTTATAACTTGTAGTCTGTTAAAAAATTAAAATATTTTACGGCAATAGGGGAGACTGGGGTTAGTCGAACCAATTTTTACAAAATTGGCTATAGCTCATGTTGTTTTATAGATAATATAAATATAATATATGATTGGATACCTAAAACTATACTCTATAAAGTGCCTTATAAAAAATCTTAAGAATATAATCATTTTTTTTAAATTTTATTTTTTGTAAAGTGAAAATTTTGTTCAACAAGCCCCAATAGCGGGGTGAAGCAAACCACTTCAAGGGGCTTCCTAAACCATAGGTTTTTTAGGCCATAATAAATTGAAATGCATTTTTATTTATTAATAATGATATGTATATAATAATTTTACTGTTCAAAATATCATAATACTTATAAATTGAAGCTAATTATATATAAAAGTTGAAACTTAATTTTAGCTAATTTAATAAACATTTTTGACATAAAAAAATATGAATTTTAAGGAGAGATTAAGATTTCTTAGCATAAATCCTAAATACCAATCATAAACAGCCATGAAATTGCCTTTTCAAGATTTTGAAATTTTTTTCATTACTAACTGCTATAATTGACGTGTATGGTTTAGCAAAACTCGCTAGCTCTAAATTGACAAATGATTGAAATAATATCTAGATTTGATAAATATTAATAAAACTTACCCAAATTATAGAAGAATGTTTAAACTTTGCAATAAAATTTAATTTACATATAAATGATTATATATTTTTATAAAGATTAAAATTCTGTCATGTAAAAATCTTTTGGAAATTTCATCAAAATTTTATTTCTTAAATAAAATTTTTAGTAATTAATTATTTCAAAATATATTTTGTCTATAACTATATTAGGATAAAATTTTAACCTTCTAGTGTATTTAATTTTAAAATGAGATTAAGTGGTTTGCCAAACCCCGGGGTTCACTTAACACCAGTCTCCCCTACTCCATATTTTTATAGATAAGAAATTTAATCTTCTTGATAATTAAGTTTTTAAAATGATCTTGAACAGCTATATGATTGTAGTCATTTCTACATAGAGGTAATGGAAAAGGATAAATCAAATTTATCAGACATTCCTCAAGCATTTATTTATATCAGGGGATCCGAATTGAAATGTGCATTGCATTACCCTACTCATATACTTGACTCAAGTTATTGCTGATTTAATTTTAAAGTCAATGAAGTTAATAAAGGATTAGATGTGGTAAACCGATTTTCTGGATACCTAGATTTCGATGTTGCGAGACAAATGTTATATTGATAGATTTTAGAGATCTAGAATAGTTTTCATCTTCAAACGAAGTAATAGAAAAAATAAAATATTTGTTTAAATAATATATTAATAAAATAATTCTTAAAGGAAATTTCCAGTTTTTTTCTGAATTATAGTTCCTCGAGAAATTTACATTCCTAGTCAATTGTAAAAATTCTTAATAAATATTTGATAAATCATTAATTATAATATATTTAAATCTAAAGCTTATAAATATTTTATTAATTTAAATGAAAGATTGGAAAGGGTGGTGATCTATTGTTGATTTGTGTAATATATTTACTTCGATCCTAAAGTTCGCAATTTTTTTCTTTTTTTTAAACAGTAATTACAATCCATTAAATTTAAATAAACATATGAGATGTGAAGGCCTAAGAAATGTAGAGGAGACCAGGGCTAGTCGGGACAATTTTTGCCAAATCATCATAGCTCCGAAAATAATGATCATATAAGATCTTACAAAATACCAATAGATACCTTAAACATCTACCTATAAATATATAGTTATATTTTTTAAATATTTAATAATTATTTCTCTAGAAAGGTTTAAGTATAAGTCATTTTTTGAACCTAGTAGCCCAGAACCCGTGGTTAGTCGGATAATTGGGGCTAGTCGAATCAAGTGGTTTAGCTTCTTATGGGACAAAAAATTTTTTTTCAGATTTTAATATATAACTATGATACTTTATTTATATAATATTCTATTTACAATTATAACAAATAAAATAACAATCTTTTTTGACAGAGAACCACTCTACATTGAAATCAATCTTCAAAATTATGAAAACTTTTATAATCCTGTTTACATATAATACACACATTTTTTATTAATAAATTTACTAAAATTTATCTAATTCTATATTTATATATAACATCATTTGATTTTATTATCAGGCTAAATATAATCTGATAACTAAAATGTTCATATCCAATAAAATGAATTAATTTAAATCATATTATATTGTCAATTAAAATAGATATATATATAAATATTTGTTTGTTAGATATAATTCATTTTAAATATATTGATATAATTATCAGGCTAAAATTTATATGCTAAAATGTTCATATCTAATAAAAGGTATTAATTTGAATCATATTATATTGTCAATTAAAAAAAAAATATATATATTATATTAGTTTGCTAGATATAATTAATTTAAATAATTGATCTTATTATCAGGCTAAAATTTATATATGCAATATATATAATATCTGTGACCATATATAATATATTATCACAATATATATATGAAGATTATTATTTGCAAGATATTTATTTAGGTCTGATATTATATTAAAATTGAAATGTATTATGAAAAATCAATCACATTAATAAATTTATATAATAATTATTATCTAATATATTACATTTATAAAATATTATATTTTAACCTGTAATAAATGGTATTTTTCTTAATGAGATATCATTTTCATACAGTTTTATAGTTTCTTCATAATCTTTTTTTAGTAAAAATTTTACTATTTTAAATTTTGCATATATATTTGGGTACCATAATAATATAATAAAAATTGACTGATTGCGCCGACTAGCCACGATTCTACTAACCTCAATAGTGGTAATATTACTAATTTGATCTTAACATATATTTAAGCATTATATATCAATCTGAAACTTTCCCAAATATTAAAATAGATATATAACTTTCATATAATGTTCATTTTGTCATGTTTAAACTTTTAATTTTTAATACAACCTAATAATATTAAGTGAAAATATTGTAATTTTTACGTCAAAAACATGTCATAACGGATAAAAATTTAAATAGCAAAATATTATAAATTATTTTCATCCCCAATTATGGATATTATAGAATTCTATTTTAGAACTAAATTTCAATTTTTAATCTTTACTGGTTTTAAAATAAAATCCTTTGAACCGACTAGGCCTGGTCTCCCCTACTTTATTGGATGATCAACCAGAATAAATTATAAACGGTTAAATAATTGCCTGTCGTAAAAAAATTATATATATCAACCAGCATAATATTTCCTTTAACAACCAATGCTGCCCTTGAGCATCTAAACGATTCATTACCATAAATAGGCGAGACATCAATTTTTAAAAACAGCAAGGGAAAAAAGATATTCTATTTAAAAATAACCCAGGAAAAAATTAAGATGGTTTGAAATTTTCAAAAGATTATATTTTTGCGATGAATGTGAAATCATTAAGTAATTTAAAAATAAATTTGAAGTACACATTCGAAATTAAAAAATTAAGATATTCACTGACTTATCAAATTCTTGACTCCCAAATAATAATTTTCTAATCCAATTCAAATATTATAAAGCATGGAAGTGTTTTTCGATATTATCAGAAAATTTTATAATTTAGATTAAAACAGCGGTATAATGTCTGATAAAAACCATTTTATATCAATAAAGGTTAAAGAAGATTAGTGTTAATTGAGAAAAGACTAATTTTATTCAATCTTGGTAGAAAAGTAAACCTTAATAAATTTGTAATACCAAATTTTTATGTTTGGTTTTTTAAAATCAAAATTCAAAAATGTTTTTTTCCTGATGGTGCAGTAACTCGATATAAGAATCTTAAAGTCATAATCGCTATCGTTAACTTGATTTTGGAGTCAAAGCAGAATAAAATTTGTTCATTATAGCTTATGGCAAACATAGCTAAAAGGTTAGCAACAAGAGATAGCCAAAGGTTAGCAGCAAGAGATAGCCTACAGCATTCTATATTCATTAAGAACTTAATAAAGTACATTAATGAATATTAGATTTATATTTAAAATTATAATATAAAATTGCCTATTTAAATTAAAAATTTAGTCTTTAGGACAGACGTATCCTTATGATGCATTATGAAGAATAGACTATTTAAGACAAATTTTCAAGAACTGTCTGGAAAAGGACGGGACCGATGTTTGGAAGCGTCCAGGTGGAATTTTTCATTTTCTACTACAAGGCATATTTTTAAAATTGATTGAAATATACAAAAAACGTTAATCATATAAATCAATTTTTATGAAGAAAATTATGACATTTGCCAAACCTATATAATGCTCTATTAAATATTGAATCAAAAGGGCGGCTTATCAGTGTAACAGAATTTAAGAGAATGAATAAAGTGAAGGTTGGGTTATAATTAAAATCATTTTACGTTTGTTAAATTAAAAAGAATTAAGATATATCTATTTTAATGACGCTATAATATATTTTAACTCAATATCAATATAAATGTGTATCCAAGTGAATTTATATTTTCAATTCACAATGTGAAATGCTATGACTTATTGGCTTTGTATAAAATTATCAAAAAATATATTATTCAGAAGATAAATAATCCAAAATAATGTCAAATTCATGATACAATCCCACAAGATCAAAAAATTTATAACATGATATAAACAAACACTCTATTTAGGCTTAGTTTCTTTCTCGCTGACTTCCCTCACAAATATTCGATCAATCCTATCACTATAATAGTCGCCTTCTTTATCAACCATATCGGAATGGGTGTCCGATTCTGAAAAATTGTGTAAATGGGAAGAGCTGATGGCTAAAAAGTTATCATCAGGGCTAAAAGCGAGAGATGTTATTTGATTAGGATATCGGTGAAAATTACACAATCTTTTTTTATTGTATGCATCCCATATATAGACAAACCCATCTGATCCACCTTGTAAAAAATAGGATTTAAAAAATAAATTGTAGTTAGGTATTAAAGTTAAAGAATATTGATATTTAAAAAAAATCATTTGCTAGCTGATACTGCATGAGAAATCCTGAAGGGGGGAGGATGCTATAGAAATGGTTGTTTGTAATACACTGTTTAAGAAATTAGCAGAAAAGTAGGTGACTTATAAATTGGTTAACACTAAAAGTGTAGTGGGTTATTGATTAGTTTTATATTAATTAATTTGATATAAATAAATTATCCAAGTATTTCCCTATAATTATTATTAAAAAATACAGAATTTAACCCAGCAATATTATTTAATTATAAAAAAATAGTAATTAAATTCAGATATAATTATAATGTTAATTACATCATCTTCTGGTTTATATTTCAGAGAAGTGTAATTATCCCTGTAAATGTTAAAATGGATAACAAAAAAAATAGCAAAGATTGCAAGTGAAATAGTTATACAATTGACAATAAACCATCTTCAATGAATTGTGAATAATATTAAGAAAAGAGAGATAATTTATCACAGTCAGAATATAAAAATGGATCCAGATTTTGGAATTAACAATGTATAAAAGTGACTCCAACTAAGGATGAAGATAAGGTAATTCAATAGTTTCTATGAAAAAAATATCAGAGACTTACCAATATAAAAATAAAAATTTCAGGCCCAGCTTAGATTTGAAAAAAAATTTCCAAACCTGTACTGTGGTGGACTAGATTTCTTAAAGATTTTTTTAAAGGCTGGCCAAAGATTTTTTCATATGGCCAGACTTTTATTATTTTACTGCAAGACCCAGCTTATATTTTTTTTTTATTTTAAAAAATTTGGCTGTATTTTGCAAAGTGTTCTAAAGGGAAAAAAATATGAGCAGCAAATGAATATTAAACACTCCAATATAAGATTTCTCAACATTTTCCACTAATTATCTTGACTTGGCCTTAATAATTTTTTAAGCTTGGCCCAGACTTAAATCTTTTAAAAAAATTAAGCCCAGCCTAGATTTTTAAGGTTTTTCCTTTTTTGACTTCCAGGCCAAGTTCAAAGTTCACATATCTTTGATAAATGCAATCACTATATTGATAAATCAATGGGTTGACTGAAGCTATATAACTAATCAAATTAATAATAAAAAATTATAAAAAACATATTAACCCTTTCGCGTCCAGTGAGATCATTTGTCATCAAAATTTTTAATCAATTAATTTTTATATTTAAAGAAACTAATGGCTGGTACTTAGAGATATTAATTTATAAAACAATATTTATTATTTCGTATTTTATCATTAACCTGTCAAAATGATTATTTTATTATATCAAAGTACAAGTATTTTTTGTTCATGGGAAATATTCCGGGTGGGTTTAAAAAATATATACCAATGATCATAAAAAACAAAATTAATAAACCTGTGGCAAATGTTCCATATTGCTTGTGAAAAGCAATGGCATTTACAGGGTACACCTTTTCAATTGAACTCACATCATCTTTTATCCTATGACACTTAAATGCATATTTATTCTTTTGAATCTCTGGATTAGAATCTAAATATTCTACAGCCACTCTCCCTTTCAATAATCCATTATAAATATATTATATTTCAATTTTTATTAATAATCAATTAACATTTTATATTAAATTAAATGAGTTTTAAGATATTAATTGTTTTATGGGTAGTTTAATACAAGTATCTGGAAGGTAAAGTAATTAATATGCATTAAGCAATTTATTGTAACATCTTGAACATATTACCTTCAATAGAGCTAAGAACAAATCCTTTTTTATCTGGAAATGTTTTTATTTGTCTAGTTTGAAATTTTAAAACAGAATCTCTAGATTGCTCAATACGTTTCATCCTTAAATCCCAAACATTTACTTTTCTCTCACTTGTTCCAACAATAATTTTATAATCACAGACTGCTAATGAATATACCTTTTTAGAATAATATTGTAAAATTTAAAAATAAATTTATAATTTTTTTTTTACTTTACTCATTTGTGCCAATGAATTATCTTTATTAATATCATTTGATTCTTGAAATCGAGGATCCCATAATTTTACATAAGTATCCCAACTCCCTGTAGCAAAGACACCTATTGCAGGACAATATTCAACACATTTTATAGGTGCATTGTGATTTCCAATAACATTTTCTAAATAAATAAGCAATAGTTATAGATATTCAATATATTACCTGAATTTTGGTTAATATCAATAAGGTTTAAATTCCCATCTAATCCTCCACTTGCTACTCGTATTCCATCCTTATTTATATTTAAAAAAATTATAAATGATTAAGATAAAAACTTGAAAACAACAGTCCAATATTGAAGAATGATAATTATATTTAGCTTTTATTTGTTTTTTTGAATTAATATCATATATATATAAATGTCCATCCCATGATGATGCTAATAGATAGTTATTATTAGTTGGGTGAAATTCAATATTGGAAATAAGATCTGTAGGTGGGTTTGATATATGAATTTCGACAGAGTTGTTAATAGACATTCTTTTAAATAAAAAGAGAGGGCAATAAAATATACTTTGCGAAAATTAGACGATTGAAAGGTCACGTGATAGATGACATATACAATATGTTATTTATGAATTTTTTTATTTACCAAACGCAGGAACTTAACCAAATAGCATCGGGAATTTTATTCTTCTTGTACATATAATTTTAAGCAATGTTTCCTCTAAACATCCCCCACCACCCAAAAAATATTTTTTAAAATAACGAACTATAATTTAGAAAAATATAATAATATTTTCAGTTAAAAACCAAAATTATTTATATAAAAATATAAAACATCCAACGATAGTAGCCCTATTTAAATCACTTTTTAAAATCGGCCTGATTAATATTTTAGTCAAAATAATATCAAGTATCCACCTATTATAAAGATCTCCAGAATTCATAATATTATTTGCAGAGTTGTTAAAGTAGAGCGCTATCTTTTTTGGTAGCTATAGCTAATAGCGGCTACTTTTTTTAAAATTGTTAAATTTTTAGCGCGCTACTTTTAAAAAATATGATGAATGTAACAGAGTTGTACAAAAGATCTTCTTTGAAGATTTTTGAGCGAGATCTAGCTCAAAAATTTGAGCAAGATCTTTGAAGATCGTAAAATTTGAGCAAGATCTTTGAAGATCGTAAAATTTGAAGATCTTTTATTTTTTAAAAATTTTGTGTAACGATCTTCAAAGATCTTCATGATATTTATTTTTTTACCCCTTTATTAAAAGCCCAGATGTTTTTCAATTTTTTTAATATATTTTTTCTTTTATGTTTTATACCGCTCCTCCTGCCTTGATGAAAGAAAAAACTATTATTTATTTTTTAAGCATGTTAAATTAAAATATAAATTCAAGAAAGATGCACCGACAATTTTCATAATCGTATTTTATAAAAAATGTTTTACCACAGAAGGGTAAAAATTTAATTTATTATATTATTAATAAAATGTTAAATTCAGAAGAGCGATAATTTTTCTAATCGTTATTTTTACATAAATGGGTAAAAATTAATATTGTAAAAAAAATTTAAGTTAAAATTTCAATGAAGATGTATTGTAATTTGTAATATAAAAAATTGACAATTGTCATAATCGTTTTAATTAACTTTTTTGATTTTTTTTTACGCAAACAGGTTAAAATTTTTAATATTAAGATGTATAGTTTAAATTTAAATAAAGATGTACCATAGAAAAGTGACAATTGTCATAATCGTTATTATATTACTTAACTTTTTTGATTTTTTTTTAAGCATACAGGTTAAAATTTTTATTATTAAGATATAAAATTTAAATTTAAATAAAGATGTACCATAGAAAAGTGACAATTGTCATAATCGTTTTACTTAACTTTTTTGATTTTTTTTTACGCAAACAGGTTAAAATTTTTATTATTAAGATGTTTAATTTAAATTTAAATAAAGATGTACCATAGAAAAGTGACAATTGTCATAATCGTTTTACTTAATTTTTTGATTTTTTTTACGAAAACAGGTTAGAATTTTTATTATTAAGATGTAAAATTATTTTTATAAAGATGTACCATAGAAAAGTGACAATTGTCATAATCGTTATTACTTAACTTTTTTGATTTTTTTTAAGCATACAGGTTAAAATTTTTATTATTAAGATGTAAAATTTAAATTTAAATAGAGATGTACCATAGAAAAGTGACAATTGTTATATTCGTTTTTATTTAACTTTTTAACTTTTTTTTTGACGCAAATAGATTAAAATTAGATGTAAAATTAAAATTTAATAAAGATGTACCATAGAAAAATGACAATTATCATAATCGTTATAATTTAATTTTTTTGATTTTATTTTAGCGATAATAGGTTAAAATTTATATTAAGAAGATGCAAAATAGAATTCCAATAAAGATGTAGGGGAGACCGGGGATAGTGTGTTCCCGGGGTAGGTATTTCTTTCTCAAATAATTTAAAAATGAATAAACTTGGGGATTTGAAATTTAAACCAAATATGTATTTTAATAAGGTGCTTAAGTAGGTCTAAAAATGTTTGGGACAAAATTGCTCATGAAAAATTTTAAATACAAATTTAAATTTTAACACACCCAAAGTAACTTTTTAAAATTTTACATTTTCACTAATAACTTTTTTTATAAAAATATTTCAGACTTAATATTAATTCTAAATGTTAAAAAAATCTCCATTCTATCATTTATAAAAATATTGACAATATTTGTGGTAATTTAATATCAAATTAAATTTTAATTAATTGTGAAGACAGGGGGCAGGTTTTGGCGGGGTACCTATAGGCCAATTTTAAGCAGGGATTATTTTGAATAAAAAATATAAAAAATCTGAATGATAATATAATTTTTTACATTAAAATGGGGCAAATATATTCTGAAACATTTATTAATTCGCGACTGTGGGATAGAATTCAAACATATCTCACAGTATTATCGCCGGCTAATTCATGTACAATAAAATTACAAAAAAAATCTTGTACCATAGGGGATTTTTTTAAACTCTGGCTGGAATGCAAATTAGATTTAGAGGAAATCAATAACGAATCCTCTAAACAATACATATATTTTCAATGATTTTGAAATAATCACTAATTGTCAAATTTCTATGTTTTTGTTTTATCCTTGTTTAAATTTTATAAAAGTTTAAAAATATTACATATGATAATTGTCAGTTTTCTATATTATATCTAACAAGGTTCAAAAAAGTTTTATAATAACATTATGACAATTGTCACATTTCTATGGTCAATCTTTATTTTAATTTTAATTTTACATCTTAGTAATATAAATTTTAACCTATTTGCGTCAAAAAAAAAAAAGTTAAATTATAACGATTATGACAATTGTCACTTTTCTATGGTATATCTTTATTTAAATTTTAATTTTACATCTTAATAATAAATTTTAACCTGTTTACTTAAAAAAAAATCAAAAAATTTAGGTAATAACGATTAAGACAATTGTCACTTTTCTATGTTAGGGGAGGAGACCGGAGTTATATTGTCCATAAAAAATTGAAGTGCTATAAAAAATAGACGAAGCAATTTTTCCATAAGGTTTTAACGTAGTTTTATTCTTTACATATATCTCTACGGTAGAAAATAATATTTAAGAAAAAAGTCTTTTAGTTTTTAATTAATATGAAATTTAAAAAAATGAAAATTTAAGAATTATGAAAAACACCCGAGGTACCTATTATCCTTTCGCGTTGCGTGTCATATCCTTTGTTTATTTGTAGATTTTTAAAACAAAATTTATATAAAAATATTAATTCTAATTAAATAAATAGAAATAAATTGTCAAATATGTTAAATTTATTAGGTTCATCTATATTATATATATTACCCGGAAGAACTTATTATCACTTAAAACTGTCATATAATTTACAAAAAATAAGTCAATCATCTTCATAATGTCATTCGTGGCCCAAGAAAAACTAGTGGCTTTTAATGTTTTTATAAATTTAGTTGAATATTTTTTATTCAAAATAATCCCTGCTTAAAAATGACTAATAGGTACCCCGCCAAAACCTGCCCTCTGTCTTCACAATTAATTAAAATTTAATTTGATATTAAATTACCACAAATATTGTCAATATTTTTATAAATGATAGAATGGAGATTTTTTTATCATTTAGAATTAATATTTAGTCTGAAATATTTTTATAAAAAAAGTTATTAGTGAAAATGTAAAATTTTAAAAAGTTACTTTGGGTATGTTAAAATTTAAATTTGCATTTAAAATTTTTCATGAGCAATTTTGTCCGATACATTTTTAGACCTACTTAAGCACCTTATTAAAATACATATTTGGTTTAAATTTCAAATCCCCAAGTTTATTCATTTTTAAATTATTTGAGAAGGAAATACCTACCCCGGGAACACATTATCCCCGGTCTCCCCTACACCTTTATTGGAATTCTATTTTGCATCTTCTTGATATAAATTTTAACCTATTATCGCCAAAATAAAATCAAAAAAGTTAAATTATAACAATTATGATAATTGTCATTTTTCTATGGTACATCTTTATTAAATTTTAATTTTACATCTAATTTTAACCTGTTTGCGTAAAAAAAAAGTTAAGTAAAACGATTATGACAATTGTCAATTTTTTGTGTTACAAATTACAATACATCTTCATTGAAATTTTAACTTAAATTTTTTTTACAATATTAATTTTTACCCATTTATGTAAAAATAACGATTAAAAATTTTCGCTTTTCTGAATTTAACATTTTATTAATGATATAAATTAAATTTTTACCCTTCTGTGGTAAAACCTTTTTTATAAAATACGATTATGAAAATTGTTGGTGCATCTTTATTGAATTTATATTTTAATTTAACATGCTTAAAAAATAAATAATATTTTTTTCTTTCATCAAGGCGGGAGGAGAGGTATAAAACATAAAAGAAATATTATATTAATAAAATTGAAAAACATCTGGGCTTTTAATAAAGGGGTAAAAAAAATAAATATCATGAAGATCTTTGAAGATCTTTGCTCAAATTTTTTTATAAATAAAAGATCTTCAAATTTTATCTTCAAAGATCGATCTTTGAAGATCTTTTTATTTTGAGCAAATGTACAACTCTGGAATGTAAGTATAAGGCACGAAAATTTAAATATAATACCATAATTATTTATAATTTTTATGATTCATTATTTAATTTTGAAATTTAAATATATTTTCAATTTGTAATTTATATTTTCAATTTATATTATAAACCTAAATCACGTGTTAATAATTTAAAATGGCATCGCATATGGATATCCAAATCGTTGAAAGTGATTCAGAGTCAGACAATGATATTAATGAAATGGAAGATACCAGGGAAGAAAATAATATTCATAGCAATACTTTCCCATTCCCTAGATTTCAAAAATTTTTTAAGATAATTATTAAAACAAAAACTGGCTTCAAATTTATATGTTTAAAATGTAAAAAAAATATTTCCTCAAATCAATCCAGTAGCTATAACCTCAAGAAACACCTAAAGGTAAATTATCATTTTT